TGCTGCGTTCTCTCTAGCCGCCAGTTGAACGTGGCCGCGGGTGCAAGTAGAGGTCTATGGGGCTACCATTGACTGGGACTTGGAGCCCCCTGAACTCATAGAGGGGGATCTGGTCGAGCTCACGATCCCCGGGCGCAACATTCGACACGTTGACGGCCAGTTTGCGTGGAGGTCCATAATCTTGTCCGAGGACGTGTGGCTTTGGACGTACAGAGAGCATCGGTCGGGGCAAGGAGTGGGCGTAGTGAGAGCCTACTTGTATTTGGCACCATGTACGGTCAGGGAGGCCGTGATGGGCCTCGCGACGACAGGGACTAGTGGCACAGTTAACAGGGCGTTACACTACCTAGGGGAAGAGGTAGCTGCCTTCCGAGCGGAGGACTCGAGCGACCCGTTGACCCTATTTCACGGACGCCCTCCTCTTGATATTACGGGCGAGCTGGTGGTAGCACGGGACGGGTTTTTCCCGTACAGCGTTAGGAGCCTGCGGGCGATAGTTCCGACGTTCGTAATAGAGAGCATCTTTGGAGGTATTGGTGGAGTGGTCGAGACATACCTGGCCTATCAGGATCTCAAGATCCTGGCGAGAAGGCCTGCCGACCTAGACTACATCTATTATTCGCTCGCAACCGGTGGGCCTCGTTGGGGAGATGAGAGGGTTCAGCTTATAGAGCTGATCCGCTCGATAGACGACGAGTGGCCCCAGTCTCCGTGCGTTTGGGATTGGCTAGACCGTGAGCTCCGAGCAGGMCCCGAGTACGTGACCTGCATCGGGKGGCTCTTCTCAGACGACTGGGAGAGCTGGTGGGGTGAGGACGCCGGGCGACCTCTGATATACGGTCATCAGTTGGCGGAATACTACCAAGGTATAGGACAGGCGCCATACCGCGTCGAGGACGAGTTTGACGACGAGGGTTGGGAGCGAGAGGACGACGAGGACGCCTGGGAGCCAGACTGGGTCGACCCAGAGAGTGAGGTTGACGAGGAGGAGATTGACGTTACAGACGCCCATTTTTCCAGGATAGGAGTAGCAGTCCGGGCGTAGGAGGTAGAGGAGCACATTAGGGCGACGGTTGAGTGAGCTTAGCTACTGATCCAACTCGACCATACTGGACCTGAGTGCGAGAGTTGTCTGAAGGGTTAGCAACGTCGAGAGATGGGGTGCATCAGAGGGAGTAGAGTGATGCTGACCGAGAGTAGGAGAAAAAATGAGGAGTGATTCAGTGGCCTGGTTAGCTTATATTCTCTCACGAGAGTTGGAATCGTATAGTGTGAGGAAGCTTGTGGGACCTAGAGAGACGGCGGTTGGATACGACATACCACTTCCTGTAGCGTTAGAAGAGGCAGGGCGTGTACTGATACGATACTTGGGAACGTGGCTCGCAGAGGGGCTCTTCCTTTGGACAGTGATACTACGAGACGAACGACCCGAGAGGACTCATGATCTAGAAGGGGTCGGACATCTGATAGCGGATAGAGCACACGATTTAGAGATAGGACTGACACTCGCAGGGGCGAGCAGGAGTTGGTGGAGAAGTGAGTCGTTGGCCAGAGTGATCGTTAATCAGCAACTGGCGAGACTCTCTTGAGGGAGGACGAGTTGGAGCTGCTTGGTATACGGTCCACCACATCCGACCCTCTACCCGAGAGAGGATTGGCGATTCTGACTTCCTACCTTCGTGATAGGGCAGACCTATGGGAGCTTGGATCGTTTGAGTAGAGCAGTGGACCACACACTTTACGCGCTCCGGAAGGGATTAGCGCCCCGCTTCAAGGAAGTATACTACGCCATTTGTGTGAGGTGGGGGCCGCCCAGTAGAGAGACGCTTGACGACATCATAGATGTTACTAGCTGGGTGGACTGTCTGAGGCCAATCGATCTGATTAGGTACTGCAGGAGACGGACAGAGATCGATTACGCGGGGTTAGAGGATGTGAGATTTCTCTTCGAGGCCGCAGC